TTTTTTTTTTTTTTCCTTGCATTTTAAGCTTTTGATTATATGATTTTTAATTAAAAACCACTGTTTTTCTTTAACGTTTATAACTAACCACAGACGGCCCACCTAACTGGCTGATTAATTCAACAACAACAACAACAAGAAAAAGTGACTTAGATTTATAAAAATTATTGAAACAACTGTTAATTACCAAGAAGTATTCAGTGTGTTAGGCAGATTTTAATTAATGTAGAAACTATCTACTTTTTTTTTTTTTTTGTCTCACTTTTCATTTCTTATCTTTTTGTAACCCTCAAAAGATTATAAGCAAAAAAAAAAAAAAATTTATCAACAAAGGAAAAAGAAATGGAGAAAGAGACTTAGGAAGTTGCAAAGATGCAAAAGGGCTCAAAACGAGAAGCATATCAGCAGTAAATAGTTGTTGTTTGGTTCAGTTTAAGAAGACAGAAATCTTTGTATTTGATTCGGTATTTAGAAAAAAAAAAAAAGAAATCTTTTGCATTTTTTTCTTTTTTTTGTTTTTGCGATTTTATGATAGATATGCCATTTGCATGTCAGACTTTTTTTTCCATTTCTGAAACACAGGAAAGGAGCGGGTAGGGTTTGGATGTCGAAGAACGAGGAAAGAAGGGGAGGGCGAAAAAAAAAACAACATTTTCTTTCATTTTCCAACAGCAGCCACTTTACAACAAATTCAAGTGGAAGTTCTACCAAACAGGTTTTTTCTGCTGTTGTCGTTTGCCATCAGCTAAAACTTAATCGGCTTTTTCGGGATTCTCATGAACTATACACACAACTTATTGCTCTGTAGTTTCTCAAGATTATACAGCTATGTAGCACAGAAAACTGCATAGCTGAAACTGTTTCATACTTTTAATGTATTTTTCAAAATTTCGTTTTTCATATTATCTGCTTGTTCTTTTTTTTTTTTTTTGTTTTTATTTTAAGGAAGAGGAATGCCCGACATAAAAAAATCATCATGTCAAAGTCGTCAACCACTTCTGCTCGGAAGATCACTAAGCTCAATGAAGGACGATGTTCAAAGTACCGCTTTCAGGTTTCTTAACTTCACAGTTGCTTTAATGCACCTTTAGT